AACACTTACTTGCTCTCAAAATGGTCAGGCTGTCGGTGCACTGAGAACTTACCTGGCTGATCATTAGTCAGGATTACTGTCCTTCGAGCGAATTTCTGTGCTCCATCTGGGTACAGTATAAACATTTTCATTCGTGTTACAGCGAGCAATCGTATGTAGGCGGGCACCCGCAGCATTTGGACGCCGGGACAACGGTGCGCCCCGACGTTTGGTCGCGTGACACAACGTTGTCCCGACGTCCAAATGCTGCTTGGGTGCTTTTCCTTCTACATACATTTAATGTTATACTTTCCTTTTGTATTTTTGAATAAGAAATATAAAATAATGTTTATACTGTACCTATATATTTCGTATTATTTCAGATATTCAACTTTAAGATTTTTTTTAGAAATTCGACTCGGAGGTCAGAGTTGAGTAATTCCTTATTTAATGATCAGCCGAAAAGATCAGTAAGTTCTCAGTACTTGACAGTATTTTGATATTTTGAAACAAGTAATTGATAAATTTCTAATTTTATTTGTTTTTTGAATTTGTTTGACAAATTCGACTTTCTTGGTAGGGATATATTTACCGAGCATTTTTAATTTTTCTAAGTATAGAGATATACCTACATATTTTTATCAATACTGTTTATGTTTTTCGTCAATACAATATTAGTAAAAGTATATTATACCTATCTGAAAGTCTACAATTTAATACCCATTAATGTTTCTGTTCCAGGTTTATGGACACATTGCTAGAATGGCAGACGGGAGATGGACCAACAGACTTATAGAGTGGAGACCAAGAGCCGACAAGCGTAGCCAAGGCAGACCTCCCACCCGATGGACCGACGACCTGAAACGAATAACAACTAACTGGATTGCAACAGCTAAAAACCGCGAGAACTGGAGACGTTTGGAGGAGGCCTATGTTCAACTATGGACGTGAAAGGGGGCTGCGTGATGATGATGAATGTTTCTGTTGATTATAACCTATTACTGATGTATTATTATTAACATAAAATTGCTAATGTTCGCAAGAAAAAACTGTTTCATTAATTGATAAGTAAATATTAAAAAATAATTTTTATATTTTCCCTCTGACGAATGAAATGGTTTTTTAATGCAAACGTTATCTATTTTTTGCTATATTATTTTAGTAATAAGTCAGTTAATCATAATTAATAATATAATTTTACCAATATTGTATTGACGTAAAATTAACAATATTGCTAATACATCCCAAATTAGTACTTTCTTGAACGTTACATTAGCAACGTTACAATAATAGTGTGAAATGCAACCTTGCACTGCAATGTTATTTGGCGGAAGATTAAGCTACCCTGAAACCTTGCATAAACCTCCATACAATGAAAAAAGTAATGTTACACCTTGCTTTGCGAAGTTTGGCAATGTTGCAGCAATAAATTTTGCTTGTTGGGACCCTTTCTAAGTTAACCATAAATCACCCTTTCCGTAGTATTGAACTAAATAAATTTCCAAAAAACAATCAGAATAGCCAACTGTTCCAATCATTGTGGATGGCTGCGGATAATCAGTTAATTTGAGTGGTTGTTGGTTCCACTAATATACCTTTTCACCTGTTCTAACTAATTTTAAACCACATCGATACAGTGACCGCCAATAACCCTTTTTCATACCTATTATATCTGGGTCCCGTTCAACACATGTCGAAACATAAAACTCCCATTTCATCGTGATGACCCTGCGAACAATAAAACCATTGAATTAAGATGGTGTGTTTTTATGAGGAGCCGAACGGCATATTAAACCGTTCGGGAAAATCAAGGGGTTCGCTAAGACGGTAAAGAGATAAATAGGGGGTTGTATAACTTTAGTGGAGCAATGCCCTTAGATTTATCTAGGTCAGTCAGTGGCGTGCTGTAAATGCGATACCTTATTCTGCTGTACATTTTCTGTTTGAATATAATTTTGGGAGATGCACTATCGTAGAGTAAAGCGGGGAAATATGCCGCATCGGGTAATATGCCGCAGTCTATTTTTAGGTCGTACAAGAAAGTTGGCAACATTCCAGCAGTGGACACCTGTTTTGTTTAAAAAGATAGCGCTGAACGCATGCTTGGTTGATTGTTGTGATTAAACTTAAACGATTGGTGCTAAAAAACCGGTAAGTACATCTCAAAAATTTTTTTACGACATATTTCGCAAAAGTTTGTCGAACCAGGTATTAATAATCCGATTTAAACATTATATTACTGGTAAAGTAAGGTTTCTAACCTAACATTTTTCGTATGTAGCGTTTACCAGGTTTACACTGGAGTTTACGATTCTTAGTTAAAACATATATTTTGTATTCTGGGGTAATATGCACCACTAAAATGGTAGTGCGGCATATTACCCCAAACATTTTTATAACGTATCTAGTAAATAAAATATTTTTTTTTATTCTTTAGATAACAATAATGCCACGTTCTTACGTCCGAAAAACTCTAAGAGGGCAGTGGTCAGAAGAAGATCTTCAGAATGCCATTGGGGATATCATTGCTGGTAGAGGCTCAGTTCGGGAGATAAGTCGAATTTATAAAGTTCCTGTTAGAACCATAATGAGACGAAAGGAATCAGGAAATCTGAATAAAATTCCTCTAGGTCGCAAAAGCTGCCTTAATACTGAACAAGAAACCAGTTTATCCAAATACATACAAAACATGGCATCACACGGCTTTGCGCTTTCTGCCCATGATATCAGAAAACTTGCGTTTTCTTTTGCTGTTCAAAAAAACATTCCCCATACTTTTAATAACGAGGCAAAAAAAGCAGGGCAAGACTGGTTTTTGTCATTTATGACGAGACATCCTGAGTTGGCAGTACGTAAAGCTCAAGGACTGTCCATCGCCAGAGCTAAAGGAATGACACAAGAAGAATGTGTTAAATATTTTGAGTTACTAGGAGATATTTTAAGAGAAAATAATTTGTTGAATGTTCCACAGAAAATCTTTAACCTCAATGAAACTGGATTGCAGTTGAACAATAATCCCGGAAATGTCGTCACAAATAAAGGTGCAAAGATGGTAAATTGTATTACGAGTGCTGAAAAGGGAGAAACCATTTCTGTTATAACATGTGTAAACGCGGAGGGCAGTTTCCTACCACCTCGTTGTATTTTCAAGGGAAAGAATAAAAAAATAGAATTTGAGGATGGTTTGCCACCCGGTGGTAAAGTTATCATGGGTGAAAAGTCGGCGTATGTTACATCGGATATTTTTTTCCAATGGTTTCGTGAATTCTTTGTCCCGAGAAAAGGACACGGTAAGGTTTTAATGATTATGGATGGACACTCTTCGCATTGTTCCAATGTTGAATTGTTAGATTATGCTGTAGCGAACGATGTGATCCTGTTTTGTTTGCCTAGTCACAGTACTCATTGGCTACAACCGCTTGACCGGTCTTTCTTTAAGCCACTGAAAACCTATTGGTCCCAAACTTGCCAAAATTGGATTCACAATAATCCGGGTAGAAAACTAGGCCGATTGCAGTTCGCCTCACTTTTTAATGTCGCCTGGTGTAAAGCAGCAACTATTCAAAATGGAGCATCCGGGTTTAATACATGTGGGATTTATCCGTTTAATCCCGAACGGATTCCCGATTATGCATTTGTTCTCGACCAAATAGGACAAGGTCAAGAAAATCCTAATCCAGGAGAAAATATCATTGAGGGCGAATGGCATAATGAAAATAATAACTTTCCAGATGTCATTGCAAAGAACAATGATCGTAAAGACAAAAATCCATTCGAAGAAATTCTCCCAATTCCTCGCATAGAACCAGGACCAAGTAACAACAGAGGTCACCGAAAGCAACATGCTGACGTGCTAACATCACCGGAAACAATTACCGTGAAAAGAACAAAGAAAGAAGAAAAAATAAAGAAATTAAAACTTTATGCTCCCCGCATAGGAACCTCACCAGAATATTACAGTTCCTCCTTTATATCTTGGTACAGATTTGGCAGCCTGGAGTCTCGCTCGTCTTCCTGGAGCTCTGAGAACCTGAATTCGATGGTCATCTGATCTTAGGCCAATTCTGGTCTCATCCGAAAAAAGAACCTTTTGCCAATTCTCAGTTGTCCAATTTTGATGTTGAAGACATCAATTTAGCCGGTCAATTTTATTTTGCCGAGATAACTGTGGAATCCGTAAGCACGAAGACTTTTTCTTATGGTTTCAACTGAAACGGTCACACCTGTAGCTGCCAGAAGTTGTTTTTGTAGCTCTGGATGAGAACCATTGGGATTTCTTCTAGCAATTTGGCACACAAAGCGGTCTGTTGTTCAGTTGTGACTTTGTGACGACTTTGTCTGGGCCTGTTCTTGTGTGTTCCTAATTCCAAGTACCATTGCGATCAAAAAAAAGTAGTACAAGAATTAGTAGTCCCAGATAGAACTTCTGGTCTATAAGGATATCGATATGCCACCGATATAATATGATGTAATATAATTATGCCACCTAACTTTTTAGGCGTTACCATGGATTTAGTAATAATTGGTAGGTTTACGTGGCGAAATAAAAGTATAAAAATTTTGATAACACTGGGTTATCAGTTTGTAAGAAAATATTTTATTATAGACCAGCAGATTAAATCATATTTTGTTGTAGGTACTACTTTTTTTTATCGCAATGGTACCTTGCATATGTTTTCGATACAACACCCTGGGTAATGCCTACTGCCTCTGCTATGCCTCTTTGGGGCATTCCTTTTTCAATGAGAGCAATAATTATTCCCCTCTATACATCTGTTAATCCCACATAAGGCATTTTTTAAATTTTTTTTTGGGTCGAATGAAAATTACCGGACAATCGTGATCTTACTACTGAACACAAAATTCAAAAGAAAATAAATCGCAGCAGTCGTTTATTCTTTATTATCGTGTTTATTTACAACAAAAAGCCTTATCTTAAAGTTGTATACCAATTTTTTTCCTTGCTAGAAATTTAGTCAGAAATAAAGAAAGATTCCATATAAGTTTGGTTGTGTGTACTAATAGCGGATAAAATATAATTTGCAATATTAATGGAATGCTTTTTTTAATCAACTAGATTAATTTTTTATGAACATCTTCTAAAATTATAATTATGTACCTTTAAAAAATTTCGTTATAGCCAAAATAGCCCCAATCATGCCCCACTAGCAAAACCGGTGATTAAAACTATGCTCGTTACCGTAGTTGAACTCCTTTAAAAAGTGAATTAAATTATAATACAAGTTAGGGGGGGCCTTGTGCAGATATCAAAACATTTACTTTTTTATTTTTATTTTTAGAATTTTCACAAATTATACTTCCTAACACTTTTAGAATAAATAAATAATACATTTTTCGTATACTCGCTATTTAAACCTGTGTATTTGTATACAGGGTGGCGCACCTCATTCGCCTCGGTTAATTATACGAAAACGGAAAGATGTAGAAACAAAATATTTTGGGTATATGTGGGAAGGCAATGTGCATAATTTAAAATTATTTTGAAATGTACAGGGTGTGTCAGAACTAAGATCCATACCAAAGTTATATTTTTTCTTATGGAACACCAGGCATTTTATTTCATTTTTGGATTCTTGGACATAAAATAAGACATTTACTATAAGGGTTTAATATGTTTAAAAGCTTTGATTTTTGAGATATTTAAAGATATTTATATATGCATGCTATAATAAAGAAGTTTGTCAACACCTTGTACATTACTTTTCAGAATTAATTCTTGTGCTGACTTTCAAGCCAGAGAATTAAACTTTACTAACAAATTTGATTGCTTCCTTAAATGTATACAGGGGTATCAAAAATTGCTGGTCTATTTTAAATATTTATTTTACATAAAAACTTTGTTATTTCAATGTTCTTTCAAACTATATTAGGGTTTCCTATACCTATCTTGCTCTGATTTTGAATAAAATGCGATTTTTCAATAAAATTGTAATCAAAAAGGCTGATGTCGCTATGGCAATTTTCTAGTGACACTTAGTAGCTATTTTCAAAATCGACATTAGTTTATGGACTTTATTTAAATTTATAGCAGGTTATTTTTATTTATTTTATCTACAATAAGGTTAATAAGTAAGTATTTATTATTTTATCAAGAAAAATGAAGCAGTATCTGCTGGCGGAAGGAATGGATGTGTTACTATAGTAACACATATAGATTCTATTTTGTGAGGACAATTGCTTGTTGGCCTGAAAGGTTTATGCTCAAAGGTATCCAAGTAGACATTTTCTTGACCAAGAAAAAATACTGAAAAACTACTTTTCCTATTTATTTTTTTTATTTCTTTACTAAAAATTTTGAAATACTACTTTTCCTATTTCGCTGAGCTGTTAGTGTGATATGTGAAAAACCTATTAAGCAGAAACCTCTAGTTGGAAGTGAAGAAAATGAATTTGCCTTAATTGGTTCTTTTATAGAAAATCCAATATATCTACAAGTCATCGTAATATAAATTCAAGAACTACTTTTTTATTTTTCTTGATAAAATTATTAATACTTATTAAACTATTGCAGGTAAATTAAATAAAAGTAAACTGTTAAATAAATTTAAATAAAGTCCATCAAGTAATGTCGATTTTGAAAATAGCTACTAACTGTCACTAGCATATTGCCATGGCGACACCAGCCATCTTGATTGCCATTTTATTGAAAAATCGCTTTTTATTGAAAATCTGAGCCAGATAGGTATAGGAAACCCTAATATAGTTTGAAAGAGCATTTAAATCTGCTTCGAATTATTTAAAAAAATACATAGTGTTGTATTTGAAATAACGAAGTTTTTATATAAAATATATCCTTAAAATAGATCAGCAACTTTTGATAGCCCTGTATAAATTTAAGGAACCAATACCATTTTTCAGTAAAATTTATTACATGGTACAGTGGAGTCGCGATTTAGTGAACTTATTTTGGCAAAGCGATTTTACTATTCCGGGGGTGTTCACATTTGCGGAGTTTGAGATTAAGGACACAAGCAAAGAAATAATAGGTATATATTCTGCATACTAAGGTTTATACAAAAAATATTTAAAAAAATATATTTAAAATATGTTTATGTAATATTTTTACGGAACATGAGTGAAAAATGACGTTATTTTAGTATGTTTAAACTTTTTCTTATTGTAAATACCTGTATTCTAAAATCTTAATATTAAAATGTGATTTTCTCGCCACACGTTCGATGTCGCCACCCATCATTTGGTTTTTGACCTTTTCAATTTTTCCCGACCAATTCCCGACATATTTAATGCATGAGAGTTGCCTATCTATTTTGTATGTGATCTGTGGGCATATGAAATAGACACAAATAATCGACAACGTGGAACACGCAAATTGGTAATCCCCGACTCGCCGGGGGAACCCCTACAATATTATGTATTTCACGACGTATGTCGCAGTTCATTGTATCGGCGTTTACCGCTGTTCACTGTATCGCGAAGCATAATAATACCATTTGTGTGTTCACTCTACGGGGTAGTTTACTCGAAGCGAATTTCACTAAATCGCGACTCCACTGTATTTGGAATAACGAAGTTTTATGTAAAATAAATATTTAAAATAGCCCAGCAATTTTTGATACCCCTGTATACATTTAAGGAAGCAATAACAATTTTTAGCGAAGTTTACTTCTCTAGCTTCAAAGTCAGCACAAGAATTAACTTTGAAACGTAATGTACAGGGTGTTGACGAACTTTTTTATTATAGCATGTATATTTAAATATCTTTAAATACCTCAAAAACTACATTTATACATATTAAACCCTTATAATAAATGCCTTATTTTATGCCCAACAATCCAAAAATTATATAATATACAGGGTGTTCCATAAGAAAAAACATAACTTTGGTATGGATCTTAATTTTGACACACCCTGTACATTTGAAAATAATTTTAAATTATGCATATTGTCTCTCTACATATACCCATAAAAAATTTTGTTTCTACATCTTTCCGTTTTTATATAATCAACCGAGGCGAATGAGGTGCGCCACCTTGTATATCGATTGTTTACGATATTCTACGATGGTGGCAGCATCGGCGGAGAATGCACCAAGCCTATTACGTAATTAAGATAGCCATGCAAAAAATAACGAATTCCAATTTCAATATCCTAGGGCTAATTGAATTCCATCTCGAAATATCAGATCCTTAATTAATGTCAAATCAAACAAACAAGTCGACGACGTTTTATTTTTAGAGAATTATCTAACTCCGCGTTATACCGTTATCCTATTACTGCGCCACTGGTACCACTACCATCGGTTCCTTAAATCTTCCCAGAGCGTTTTTATCGATATTTAAAGTACTGTTATGACCGCTTTCTTCTTACTAACCCCGAGTGACAAAAACTCTGTTTGAGTTACAGTAGTTACGACAATAAAATCATGGGTACTACCGAACAAGCATAATGATATAATTTTAGACCGAAAAAATATATGGTTTTATTGGACGGAAAGGGTAGCAATTTGTGTTGTTTGAGAAATTGAAAGAGTGGTATAAATTTCTTCAGGGAAACGCTTTCGTTTTGCAAAAAAAATATTTTTTGCTACCTTATAGTATACTACCAAGAAATATAAACTTTTGAACTTTTGTAGGCATAATATTCGTAACAGATTTTCCAAAATTAGTAGAGTTTAGTACTTGAAACTTCTACAGTATCTCTTTACTACTAAGAAGAAAAACTTTTTTATTATTAATATTTTGAAAAAAATGCATTCTTCATAAAAATTTTGGCATATTCTAAAATGGGTTTGGTTTATACTTTTCCAGACTTCCATACCATTTTAGAGAAAATTAAATAAACGTACTACCGAACAAGCATAATGATATAATTTTATACCGAAAAAATATATGGTTTTATTGGACGGAAAGGGTAGCAATTTGTGTTGTTTGAGAAATTGAAAGAGTGGTATAAATTTCTTCAGGGAAACGCTTTCGTT